GGATCCAGGGGGCTAGGGGAGCAGGTAGGGCTGGTGGGGTCCCACCCTATGGTCCCCTTCCTCCTCCACCTGCCCAACACCCTACTTACCTGCAGTGGAGCCTGGGTCCAGCTCTCTGCAGCTGGCACACTGCCTGCCCTGCACGACAGGCTGCATGCTTCAGCACCAGGGCAAGGGCCAACCATAGAGACACTCTGGCTGTTACCAGATTGTCTCTGTGGAGGACCCAGTCTCCGGTTGCCTCAGGGCATGGCCTGGGACCATGCCCTACCCTGCTTTTTTTCACTCCATTTTTTTTTGACCCCTGGATATCCAGGGGTCTAATTTTGCCCCGTGCTGCAAATTTGCAGTGCGAGGAACATTTTCTCATTCCTGCATGTGCCTCTTGCAGTGTCTCAAAGGAGTTTGAGTCACTGCAAGAGGCACATGTGGGCTCATCTGGGTGCGCCCATACAGTCTGCAGTGGGGAGAGAAATCAGGAGGCAAGGGAAGGGGGAGGGTAAAGGCTGATGGTGGTGCAAGGGTGGACAGTGAGCGAGGATGAGAAAATTGTGTTGTTAGATGATGTAAAGAAAGAAAACTATCTAGTAAAATCTGAAATCAAGAAAATAGGAGACTGAGAACACGAGTGAGTGCAGTGGAGTAGTTTGAGTACTTACAGAAAGAAGCGAGAAGCAGGGGCAATGCACTGAGTTAGAAACGTGGCAACTGATGCTGCTTAGAAGGAAAAGCGATAAGGGCAGCAAACTGGAAATAGTGAAAAGGGTGAGAGAAAATGTGTGGGAGGAGGAGAGAGAGAAAGGAAAAAGAAATAATGATGGGGGGATGGGAGAGAGGAGCAATTTGAAGCCAACAGAAGAGAGCCTGACCAAAAAGATTATTAAAATCTATGCGCGAAGCATTTTAGGTCTGAAGCAGGTTGTGGACACTGGTCACTCTTAGAGGGCCAACGAGTTTTATGGTCTTTTGATGTCAGTGAGCTGTGCTGGGTTTAGTTTGCCCATTTCAGTTATCCTACAAGTGGAATTTGTTGGACTATTGGTAGGTGATTTCTTCCACCCAGCTTTTCTGACCATGCTGAGGATTTCGGTGTTTTTAAGAACTGAATGCAGCATAATTTTCTGCTTGGACAAAGATGGGCACCGTGTATCTAGTTACATATAGATGAAGAATATGCATTTGCACACACATTTTATATAATAAATTATTTTTACAGATTTATAATAGATTTACAGAATAAAGAACTTATTTGAAAACTTGGTGCCACTGTCATTTTTTAAAATAAATCGAAAGAAGAAATGATGGCTTCTTATTCTATACACATAGTGAAGTGAAAAGTAAACAGAAAATGATAGTAATGATTATATTTTCTCTAGTCTGTATTTTTTTGAGAAAATTATCATTGTTTATGATGCTGGAACATGATTTCTTAGAGTGTATATTTCTTACAAAAAACTAAAAATAGTTTAGTAAAAAAAGCTGCTAGGTAAAATTGACTAACATTGTTACAGAAATGTTAATGTCTAACACAGGATGCCATGCCCTTTTCCTCTAAAAGGAAGAGCTGAAAGGCATTTGTGATTTGGTATGATTTGTAATAATCTTGCTCCCTCTGGTGGCTATTTGGGATCATGTGATAATATTTTAGAACAGACATGCTAAAAACTTCAGCATCAAATAGTGCTTAGCATTTGGAAAAGAAGGTGCAACAAAAATTTTTGTTACCAAAGTAAAGTAAAAAAGAGATTTAAGGATCATTTTTAAAAGTGTGCTTTTACTCAATATCTTTAGCTTGTCAAAAACACAATCATAATTTCCAACTTTTGTTTTAATTTTAAAAAATTAAACCTTTTAACTAGCTCTAAACTCATCACAGAGGGAGGAAATTTATTCCAAAAATTTTCCAAAATTCCCTTTGTTTTTTTGGTTAAAAAAAAAAAAGTATTGCAGATTCATTTGTAGAAACCCTTTTCATTAATGCTATCATTTAAAATGAGAAACAGATTTTTATGATGCTTAACATCAGTTTGGGTTTCAGTTTAATATGAGCAAAATATGGATTATCTCTGAGTTTACCTTAGTAGTTTCTCTTAGCTTTATAGCTCAATGGTGTCTCTCTTCTTTTTGAAGTGCTGGTGTAGGTCGAACAGGCACATTTATTGTAATAGATGCCATAATAGATATGATGCATTCTGAACAGAGAGTTGATGTTTTTGAGTTTGTCGCAAGAATCCGTAACCAGCGCCCGCAAATGGTTCAAACCGAGGTAAATAAAAATTTAATTTTGTGATAGTTTGTTAATTTTTCATATTTAAAACTGGCAATGCATTGATGTTTTCCAAACAGTGGTACCTATCCCAATACTTTCATTCCTCCCTACACAGCCTGAGCAAAGCTGAACAAGAGATTAATAGTGTTGCAGGGTGTTAGGCGAATAAGGTGAATGATAACTCATCTATGAAAGAACTCTGAGACTCTGCTTCTGTATTCTTCCCGTTTGTACCCCATGATGTTCAGAGCGTAATAGAAATCCCCTATCATGGCCAAGGCTTATTCCTTTAACTTGTTTAGTGGCCTAACAAGATGGGAAATCATGAATTGATCATATAAAATAAATGGATGTGCTGTATTTTTTTAAATTATATTTAATTGTTTTAAAATATATTGTACTTGTTGCTTATTCATTCCAGATGCAGTATTCATTCATATATCAGGCCTTGTTGGAATACTACCTCTACGGTGACACAGAACTAGATGTGTCCTCCTTAGAAAAGCACCTACAAACATCACACAGTACAACTCCCCATCTTGGACAAATGGGGCTAGAAGAAGAATTTAAAGTAAGTAAAATAAAAAATAACTTGCCAAAATTTTAGGTGCTGGGCCAACAAGACATGTTCATATGTAGAAGAAATATAGCTTTTTTTAAAGCTGTCAGAACTAAACAGCTCAACTTTATTTCTTTTGTTTCAAGTTATGGGAAAGATGAGGAACATTTTCCATGCATAGAATTTGTACGGTCAGAAAACAATATTGTGGAACCCTCCCTCTCTAAGGTTCTGCTCCTAAAAGTGATGGGCCAAAAATGACAGCACAGTATTCTACTAACCAAATCCACATAGGTCCTGAGTAATATTTTCTTATAAAAATATATTTTTTCAATGTATACTCTTGTTAATGTTGCAGAAACTGGGGAATGGAGCCAGATTGCATTTCCTTTTACTTGCTCATTGACAGAACTTGATTGCAGAACTCTTGTACTTGCTGAAGTTGCTCATGCGGAGGAGAACCCAAATTGACTTTTAGGTCTCTTGATCAATTTGCCGAGCTGTTTGCAGGGGGAAAAAAAATAAAGATCTTTTAGTGTCACTGAGAGAGCATAAATGGATAATGCCATCCATACTATTTCAACACTTTTTAGAAAAAAATATAATCACATCTAAGAGTTCTGAAGAAAACTTTATAGAATGACTAGCCTTATAACATATGTGTAAGTGTCTTTATATCACCTTATTTTGTGTATCAGATTAAAGCATAAAAATGACATGGAGCTTTAATTGGATCAATATCACATGTTCCCATATGGGATTCCAATAGTTAGTCATTTGATTATCTTGTTCCAGTGGCTGTGGCCAACAGGGAAACTTGTCCTAGCAGTCTAGCCTCAAGTTAAATGCTGAAAAGAGGATTTCATCACTATCTGTGACAACAAAGATGCAAATGAACAAGCAGAGCACTTTGATTTGCTTCACAATTCCTGCTACTGTTTTCTGCTCTCTCATATGGCTGACATGATTTTTTAGAGCCAGCTGCTTTCCATACACGCGCAAAACATAGTTCAGTTTGGAGGTCATCCGAATTACAAACATATAGCATAATTCAGTAGCATAATCAAAGTACCATTTGGCTTCATTGTGCAAAGCAGAACTGTGTTTAACCAGTTTCAGAGACAGCATGAAGTTTCCAACAAGTAGACAACATCCCAGAAAGGGCTTTTTCCACATAGCATAAATTCTTTCACTTCTAAATTCAAAACTTATTTCTTAAATTAAACTTAGAATAACTATTTATTATAATGCAATTAAAATACTATATTTTAAAATGAGTTTGGTTTAATCCTCTTTTTCAAATCATTCCTGAAACTTATTTCTCCCAAGAGACCTGTCAAAGAACTTGCACACTTACTAATTTTCAAAGTATTTATTCTTTACTGAAAGAACAAGTACTGAAGTTTCAGAAGAAAATAGTTTATTTTTGTACAGAATGTGATTCAGTACTTGTATTAAACTCAGTCCTCACTATGCAACTGTGATCTGCATATTTTTAATAACAATCTTACATGAGCAGAAATGGTTTATTTCCTTGTGCACTTCCTTGATCTCTCTTGCTTTGATGAATAAAAAAATCATAGAACCATAAAAGTAGGGTCGGACAGGATCTTATAGATCTTTAAGTCCAACACCCTGCCAGGACAGGAGAAAAAACTGGGCTCATATGATCCTAGCCAGGTAGGCATCAAGCCTCCTCTTAAAGACCCCCAGGGTAGGAGCCAGCACCACTTCCCTTGGAAGTTGGTTCCAGCTCCTAGCCGCCCTGACTGTGAAGTAGTTCTTACGGATGTCTAATCTAAACCTACTCTCCAACAACTTGTGGCCATTATTCCTTGTTATGCCAGGGGGCGCAAGGGGAAACAAGGTCTCTCCCAAACCCTTCTGGTCCCCCCTAGTGAGTTTATAGACAGTCACCAGGTCCCCCCTCAGCCTTCTCTTGTGAAGGCTGAACAGGTTCAGGTCCTGCAGTCTCTCACTGTAGGGTCTGCCCTGTAGTCCCTGGATCATTCGGGTGGCTCTCCTGTGGACCCTATCAATGTAGTCCACATCCCTCCTGAAGTGGGGCGCACAAAACTGGACACAGTACTCCAGCTGTGGCCTGACCAGTGTTGCATAGAGGGGGAGGATCACCTCCTTGGCCCTGCTAGAGATGCACCTGTGGATGCACGACAAGGTCTGGTTAGCCCTGCCAACCGTGACCTCACATAGTCGGCCCATGTTCATCTTGGAGTCAATAATGACTCCAAGATCCCTTTCTGCCTCCGTGCTCTCAAGAAGGGAGTTTCCCATTTTATAAGTGTGCTGCTGGTTACTACTGCCCAAGTGCAGCACCCTGCACTTGTCAGTGGTGAAGTGCATCCTGTTTTTGCTAGCCCAGCCCTGTAACCTGTCAAGATCCTTGGGCCAGAAACCACATGTCTGTGCCTTAGCAAAAAGGTGAGCGCTTAGTGAATAGTTAATGTGTTCTTGCTTTTTTTGCTGGCCAGTGTAAAAAGTTTCTGTGTGCAGCGCTCAGCCTCTGACACAACCACTACTAGCCCCCAGTCTAACTGAGAAGTGAGGTTAGTAGGCTCCAAATAGAGACTTGTCCTTTGCTGAGTATAAGAAACAGCTAGCACTGAAGGTCAAATTAAAAAAATGGGTCTAATGCATACGTTTATTCATTGCAGAAATTAACAAATGTTCGGATAATGAAAGAAAATATGAGAACTGGCAATCTGCCAGCAAATATGAAGAAAGCCAGGGTCATCCAGATAATTCCATGTAAGATGTTGTATTTTCTACATTATTATAAGTATATCTGCTTAACATTTTAAGTGCCATGTCAATATTATTGTACTATTAAATGATTTTTGTAATGTGTAAGCATCATTTATTACATATGTTGTTAGCAGGTTACCTTACAAAAGAATATGACACTGTTGTTTTGAGCTAAACAGTAGGTGGCACTCTTAAGACTGAAATTTGAGCAAACTAATTTGCAGCTTTCAAAAAGAAAAGACTTTTTAGTTGCTTTCTATTTCTACAAATGTTTGCACATATGCAAAATAGAAAGTTATATCAAGAAATAAATCCTATTAAGAGGAAAGAAGTTTGAATTCCATCACCTAAGCTATTTGTCCTATGGTACTATTGAGAAGCATTCTTTTTTTCTTTCTAGAACTTTATTTATTGAGGTTTTCAGTTAGCCTTCCTTTTTGTTACCTGTTACTTTACAAGTATATATATTTAAAAATTTATAAATGGTTAATATTACTGAGAGCTTTACAATTTCAGTAACATCTCAAGGTGACACCTAATGTGTACATTCTCCTTTGAGTGATGGGCCCACCTCATTGTGATGGGTATGCATCTTTCTCCAGAACTCCATCAGAGGTATTTTGTTTTAGTGGGATATGCATGGCACACCATGGCCCTGTCTTTCCCTGTGGCAAGAAATGGTGCTCCTCAGTTCTGGTTAAACCCCTTGTCTAGAGAGAAAGAGTGCTTTTGTTGGTTCACGTTATTATGGCCTATAATCCTACCTGAATTTTTTCTTTCAAAGTGCTTCAATTACTTGATATTATTTCTATTATCTTCTGCTGCTCTTTTTTTTAAAAGAAGGGGATTGTTTCTTAGCAGTTTGGAGGCGTTGTTTTGTTTTGCTGAGGTTTGGCGTCCCTTGTGTTCCCCACCCCCCATATTAATGTGTATTATTTCATGTGAAACTACCATATTGAATGCTGCCTCCTTCTCATTGACTCTCTTGATTTTTCCCCCCCTTCTTATAAGGTGGAAGGTTTAGGAGCTATTTTTCTCTTTCTGGTTTTCAGATTTCCTTGTTTGTGGTTTCTTCCCACTCACAGTACTTCAACCTGTGCCCAGTGGTGCATCCAAAGGTGCTTTGTCCTCTCAAAGTATCCCATGTTCCTGGAGAATGCTCCATACGCAGACCTCTTAAATTCAGAACTCATAAAGGCTGTGATTCATCTCATGGGTAGATCCATGGAATCTGAAGACTGTCTCTGAGACTGAATTCCTAGGAAAGTCCCCTGTCCAGGGCTCTTTGAGAGAGCCTGGCTCACAATGTCCTTGTCCATCTGCGTCGCACATTTCAGGTCCCCTTAAGGGTACTGTCAAAGCTCACAAAGGTTCCAGCATTGATGGTCCAGTACCATTGTCCGTTGTTGGCCTAAGCCTTCCAGATTTCTTTGGAGACGGTCACTGAGCCTTAACATATGTTAATTAACATTTTACAACAAAAATGGATCTGCACATCAATGACAATGGGTCTACAAGGGAATCTTGGAGATGCTTGGTCACTTGGCTTTGAAGAGCTAGAAGTGTGGACAGGAAGAAACCAAGGGTGCCTGTAGACACGCTGCAAGGTTGCTCCCATGCCCTGTAATTACAGTGTATCAGAGCGTAATTATTGTCTTCCGGCCACCCTCTGCATCTCATGTATCAGAGTCCTAAGCTTCAAAATGGTGGTGGGGGTGCTTTAATTAAAGCTCATCAAACAAGCTTTAGTTGAAGTACTCCTGCCACTATTTTGAAGCACAGGGGCACTGATACACAAGACACTGAGGCATTTTAATTAGAGAGGCTCAGAGAGCCACTCTAATTAAAGCACCACCCCACCTCTACCCCCAGAGCATATGTAAAAGTGCCAAGTTTCTCCAAAAAGACTTTTGTTCAACCTGTAACCTTCAGTAAGTGCCCATACTGCTGATGAAAAGTCAGAACCATTTGGATCAACTCCAGAAGGAAAGGAGTGGAAATGGTAGTTGTTTTCAGACCCTCCTCCTGCCTTACAGATTTTGGGATTTTCTAAGGAGGCGCAAAATACTGTGGAGAACCTTCTCCTTGAAAATTCAGAATTGTTTAGAATGAGGATTGATGCAGCACTGCATACTAGGGGTGTGTGAAGCAGGCCCTATTCAATTCAGATTTGGCCCGAATCAGGGACAATGATTCAAACAGTTGATTCAGATCACTGTCCCTGATTCGATCTGGCCAAATCTGAATCTGAAGATTTCATCAGCGATTCAGACATAGACACAGCTTCAAAAGTTTTTTCTACATACCTTGAGGTAGCAGGCATGGCTCGTGATCACTGCAATGCTGGGACACATGGAACATCCCACAGGAGTGGTGGGGTGGGGCCCTCCACATGCTCGGCGGCAAACCTGGAAGTGGTTCCGATCTACTTCCGAGTCTGCTGGGGAGTATGCGGGGGGGGCCCCCTGCAGTCCTCCCTGGCTTGGCAATTGGCCACTGGGGAACCCCGGGTGCCCTCCCTCGACCCAGGAGGCATCAGTCACCGAGCCGGGAGGGGGGGCCCCTGCGCGTTCCTTGGTGGACCCTGAAGTGGACCAGAAGTGCTTCTTGTCCGGCTTCTGGTCCATTACTGTGTCTGCTGCTGAGTGTGCTGGGGAGCCCCCCATACTTCTGTGGAACACTCCATGTGCCCCAGTATCTCAGCACTTGCGAGCCACCTGATACCTAGAGATATGTAGGAAAAACATTTAAAGCTGTCTCTATGTCCGACTCTGAATCTTTCCAAATCAATTCAGAGGGTTCCAATCTGATTGAGAAATTAAAGGGTCCTCTGATTTAATTTGGATTTAGAGATTCGGCCACTGAATTGGGCTGAATCGAATCATGGACTGAAGCTTTGCACGGCCCTATTGCACACCCTTAAAGGCCTCTTTATGCTCCTGTTCAGTTAATTCACAGTTTTTAAAAGGAAACTGAAGTACCTGCTACGTTCTGTATATATTCAGCATCCCCCCTGTATTCCTCCATTTTTTATGCTGACCAATTGACTTTCTAAACTAGACAGAAAGCAGCATAGTTTCCATAAACAGAAACAGTATTTTGCTGCATTATTTGCCTCACTCCATTTTTCAGGCAGGAAACAAACCTTTGATGGTGCAGCTGAAATGCTTATGATCCCTTTTGGTGTCTCTTTGTTCTTCTACCTTAAATAACTACCTGACTTTCCAGTATGCCTCAGTCCCAGTTACATCATACCACTGGGTTCTAGACACCATTGCAGTAGGATATACCATACAATGCAGTTTGCTTTTCACTCCAAATCCGACTTTTCAGGAATGTATTTCACAAGATTTTGCTACACCAGAAAGTACTCTCCTCTTTAACACTGAGAGCAGCTGAAGGAGTCACTCAGTAGCTCGGGGACAGGAGTTCTAGACTGGTTAATTTCTGGTTCTAAAGAGGATGGGACCTCATTCTGCAATTAAGAAAGTTCAGTACCATCGTTTGCATTTGCAGTTTCCAGTTCAAGATGGTCATGTTGAAGGAGGGTAGGATGTAGATGTGTGTATGGATATCACATATCAGTAACTGGAGTTCTCCAATTAGTAAATTCTCTTTCTCCATCAAGTCATTGTCCATATACACATCCTCACTGTGGGTGATTCCAAAGCAAAAGGCTTGTGTGCTTGAGATGTGTACCCACAGTGTAGATGTGCAGGTGGAAAACACATCTTGAACTCCAGTGATTGGTAAGTAATGTCTCTTTCTGCAAGAATTAGTAATTATTTATATGTTTTGCTATTTTAATCATTAAGTGTAAAATAATGTTGATACTCATTAAAGGCTTAATGAAGCATTTCAGCAGTGGTGTTTCTTAAATATGAATCCTTCAATTTTGCATGTGAAAAGTATAGTTTTCTGAGAAGACTGTCTAAACAACAAATGGTGATACTGAATGCTCAGTTTTTGCAATCATCAGGCATTAAAACATGGATCCAGGTCCTGAAGGCTCTTATTGATGTGAATAGCTCCATTGATTTCCAAGATCAAGCACTTGTTATGTCACTCTTTTGGGCTTTCAAACAAGGATTTCTTTTTTTTTTTTCTTCTTTTTTGTCATGTCTATGAAAGTACAATGAAACAATCGATCTGCAAAAACAACAACAACAACAACAACAAAACATGGTGTGGATGTTTTTGTTTTTCAGATGACTTTAACAGAGTGATTCTTTCAATGAAAAGAGGTCAAGAGTATACAGACTATATCAATGCTTCCTTCATAGATGTAAGTACAGATTTCTATATGTTTAAATTCATTGTTACTTTTTGCTACAGACTGTTTTAATGGGTACAATCAACATTATTTAGGATCCACATTTAGGTAGGGTTTGTTTTAAAAAACAACAACAAAGGTTGTTAAAAAGCAAGTAGAGATAGAAACATTTTCTTGGTGTTTTCAGTTTCAGTAAAACCAGTTTTTGTGATGTTAGCATTCTCTTGTGCTAGGAATTCAAACATGACAGCATATTGGTAGTGGCTACCAGCTAAACTAGGAAAGAGTTTAACAACAAGAGGGAAGCTCATCTAACCTTTATGTTCTTATTGAAACTAGATGTGGTTAAAAAAGTAACAAACTGACGGAACTTGATTGGCAAGGTTCTTTGAATAGTTGTAATATCTTTTATTAGACCAACTGAGTGTTGGTCTAATAAAAGATCACTCAGTTGGTTTAATGAAAGAGATCACTCAAAGAACCTTGGCTGCCTATGTGCTTAGACACGGCTACAACCAAAAACCCTTGAACATGATTGGCATTCAAAATGGATGGGGAAGATGGATTGAGAGGTTAAGGTACTAGGCTGATATTTAGAAGACCTGCTTTAATGTTCTATAACAAGTTAGTGTCAAAGCCAGGAATTAATCAACTCAGTCTCTTTTTCCCCATCTTTAAAATGGAGGATAATATTTTTGTGCCTTAGAGGGGTTTTGTAAAAATAAAATCCACTAACAATTGCGAGCTTCTATACCACAGTTATAAAGACTAAGATATAGGTAAACTGAATTACTATTAGCACAACCTAGTAGCTCTGGTATTATTAATGTTGTCTGACACCTTCTTTTTCAAGGTTCTTTTTCATTTGCTTATCATTTTGACATACTTTAACCTTGGGAAAAACTTAATCTTAGACATGCATACAAAGTGGGGGGGGGGGG